ACGGTTAGGGTTTGGGTTAGAGGGGGGTCCGGGGGGGTACCCCCGGGTTTGGTTAGGGTTCGTGTTAGGGTACGCGCGCGGTTTGGGTCCGGGGCATCCCATATAAGGCATTGATCTGGCGGACTCACCGATGTGGCACGGCGTGTGTGTGGCAGCGAGGGCAATCTGGTGGAAGTCGGAATATCCCGAGCGAGTTCCGCTTCCACTAGTTTGGTATATACTCCTCTATAGCCGCGAGTATGGAGCGTGCAGAGGGCTTGACATGGAACCGCCTTGTTGTTGAGGGTTGTGTCACGCGGCCAGCTTCACCGCGACACTATGGAATGAGGTGCCAAGAGCAGTGGAAGTACTGTATATGGAATTGTGGAGCCAGATTTGCGCAACACTACAAGTCGAGATGACGGATCCGATGTTTTGCTGCCAGTACCGAGTTAGATATCCAGTTTCTCCAGGAAGTACATTGCTGGCAGCAGCGCCGGTGGACGGGATAAGACTTCATCTCCAGCTAACTGCACAGCAGCATCAAAAGTAACCCGACAACTTACTGAGGACACGTTCCTCATGCCCAAGCACCTAAGCGCGGCAAAGGCTGCCACAGCGGCTGGGATGTTTGGCGACAGCAAGCGGATGACACCTTCAGCGTCGTGTTCTCACGAGATCGGAGAAATCCCGGGCGAGGTTTGATTGCATGGCATTTGGAGTCTCTGGAAAGAAGTGTGGGCAGTCAGTACTGATGGCGATGCTGACTTACTGATCGGCTTAAGCTGTTTGGAGCGCATCCTACTGAAAGATCCGTCAGGCTGAGAAATAGCACTCGTGTAGGTGACGACAACAGAGCAACGGCTATTATCTCGGTATACTTATCTGAGCGCTCCGGTGTTCATGATACCAGTTTCATTGTGAGGGCGCTCGTTAAGAAGTTGCCCAGGTTGGACTGCGAGGGGAGGAAGCCATGAGGAAGCCATCCCAAAGCTATCCATCCTACACGGCAAATATTTGTGCCGTATTCTACGACGCAGTTCCGACTTCGTCGAATCCGGAGGGGTCGGTACTGTACTATTTCGACCAATTCGTCGGGTCATGTGACATGCGACCGATTCGTCACAGGACCCCTGAAAATACCGATGGAGGTTAGATACCGATTCCGTAAAAAAGTGAGGTCTGGAGGCCGTATGTTAGATACGGTTGCGGTAAAATGTGGCGAAGCGCCCAAGAGGCCGGATACTTCAGTCCCGGTAGAATTGAGGCTCGATATCCAAGGTCAGATACCATTGTGGTATAGACCCGGCTTCTCCCGGCACTCAATCACTCGCTTGTGCAGCCACAATTTGCCCCAATAAATATTTGAGCTGAGATTGCACTGTTTTGGCAACATTGGGCCTATATATAGCATATTGTAGCGAATAATGCCTTATTAGAGCATATTCGGTGTGGTAATTACTACGGGTGGAGCTCCCAAGTAAGGGAATTTTGATGGATTCAAGCGACCCCATTGGCCCCACGCTGTGGTAATTACCACAGCGAATATGCTCTATTTTGATCAAATTTGGCTAAGAAAGACCCTTGTAACCGGATCAAAATTCGGAGGTTGGATATCTGGATCCCGGTAAATCTCGAGCCACACGGCTAGGTTGGTATCGCGTCCCGGTAAAAACAGCCAAATTAAGCGAAATTTGGTCCCGGTAAAAATGAAGGAAATCAGGTTCTCTGGTATCTAACCTCCATTGGCAGGCTCCTAGAACCATCCGTCTCGCGTCCTCGATCCTCTCTGCTAGGGCGTGTGTGAAGATGTTATCTAATATGGCTTATATAATGTAGTTTATTTATAGTTGTATTTCCTGATTAAGCCGAACGGTGAGGATGAGGACGCTATGAGACGGCTGGCCCAACTCGTCGTCCGAGGTTTTACCGGAATTATGTAAGGCGGCTAAGCGACTACGCGCGTCGGTTTATTGACGTTCGTCGACTGCCCGATTTGGATTTCGAGGTGGCTTTCTCGTCGCACCTCAGCCGCCCTTCGAGCATCTCCTCTGCTCGCCGCGCGTCGATGGCGGGGCATACAATCTAATCTTTAAATAGAAAACACTGTTTTGATAGTAATGCATGAGTAGCTGTTGCTCTGTATTTTTGATGTATTTCGATGAATAGATTATTCTATATACATTGAAAAGTGCAAGTACCAGGCTCCTCGATGCA